GTGGGGGACCAGTGAGTAGGGTTACTGATCCTTCCCCCACTTCATAGATCAAAGCACAAAGGGGATAGTCGGTCCCTGTCATTGTCAGTTGGTCACATTCTGCCTTCTAGTTACTTGTGCCACCTCGGTCATGTCAACAGAGTCACGACTGCAAGTGTGAGCATGGTTTGGCCAAAGTCGATAATGAAACAAACCTCCCATGAGATGGGGAGCCACGTGCCTTGTTGTTCCACTGTTAAAATGGCCCCAACACCTTCCTTCCAGCATTTCTGAGATGGGGAGTAGAAAGTTCTAGGATATTCCCCTTGATGAGAGTTAAACACTTTCTCCTTTTCACCCTGAGCCGAATGAAGAAGTCGAAGTGCTGGTACCGGAGCCTTAGAGGCCCCTGCGTTACAACCACTCATCAGGCAGTGTATTAGTTAAATGTGTTTTATCATAAAAACACACACCCATAGGACTGTGCAGGTATATGGCCGAGCAAGCTTCAGCCATGCAGGGAGAGCATGCCCAATCCTCCCTCCTCCACCCACTGAGCAGATGGACTGGAAGGGGGTGGTAACGGATGGAGAGGCCAGAGCCTTGTCACCTCTCCCACACACACACACATCCACTCCCACTACGCCACTGAGTCAATGTGAACTGGGAAGTAACCTGCACCCAGTAAAAAGATGTAATACCGGACTTCTCTGCAGGAACACAATTCCTTCCTGGCATTCTCTAACACTGACCCTTGCCTAGGGCTGGGCCTAGAAGCTCAATGTAGCCCATAGTGATTTCTCTGGCGAGATTTCATTGAATATCATTTTGTGTCACGCGCTGTAATCATGTGATTACATTCCTGAACTTTCAAGTGCACAAAATTTCCATTAGCATTAACGGGAGTTACACACACACACGCATTGAGGTAGAACAGCCCCTGAAGTGTTCTAACAGTAATTAATTTCTTCTTGTGGGTGACTTTGTCTTCATAGCAATAATAGAGCCACAGGGCTTTATAAAATGCAAAACGTCTCTTGCACGTTAATGAGGCTGTTATTCTAAACCATTACCTATGTGAATTTCCCTCCAGATGAGTAAAAGTGGGAGCTGACACCTACATTGACGGAACTGGACGAAGGGGACTAGCTTGTAAAAGACCATTTAAAAATGTTGGGTGGGACTTTCAAAAGTGCACGAGTGGCCAAGTGTGTCTCTTCACTGCAAATAAAAGGGGGGGGGGGTTAGCTAATTTGGGTTCATTAGCAGGCCTTTAACTCAGTCAGGCAGGTTCCCCTACAGGTTTTAACTCACGCTGCTCATCCAAGTTTAAAAGCCAAGTTGCTGTGCTTCCCTGCTATTTTAACCTCAGGTAACACGGGTTAGTTAACATGATTTAAGAACACCCCTTTTTTTTTGCAGTGTAGACATACCCTGAGGAGCCCAAGTTCCATTGAAAATCAGTGGTACATGTGCTCCTAAGTCACTTAGGGTAGGTCTACACTGCAATAAAGGGGCCGTGGCATTGCTCCTGACTCAGACTCATAGGGATTGGATGGTGAGTGTAGACATTGCAGTGTAGACATTTAGGCTCTGAGACCCTCCTCCCTTGCAGGGTCTCAGAGTCCGGGCTTCAGCCTAAGCCTAAATGTCTACATGGCTATTCCTAGCCATGCAAGCCCAAGCCCCACAAGCCCAATCAACTGACCCGGGGTCAGAGACTCGGTGCCGTGGGTTTTTTTTAATCCCAGCATAGACATGCCCTTAGGCACTTTGGGCATCCTACCTTTTATTCTTACTTATATTATGGCAATGCCCAAAAGCCCCAATATTGTAATGGGGTCCTGATCCCTCAGCTAAAATGTTAATACAGATCAAAAGAACAGGAGTACTTGTGGCACCTTAGAGACTAACAAATTTATTAGAGCATAAGCTTTCATGGACTACAGCCCACTTCTTCGGAAGCTTGTGCTCTAATAAATTTGTTAGTCTCTAAGGTGCCACAAGTACTCCTGTTCTTTTTGCGGATACAGACTAACACGGCTGCTACTCTGAATACAGATCAAGTGGAACTCAATATATACTGCAAGCATCAGGAATGGATTGTAGATCTCAGCCACCTTGCTTCCATGCAATGAGAAGTACTGTAGTCAAATCTCCAACGTTAGGCAGAGTAGGTCTGGGTCTCTACTTGGACAAGAGACCTCTTGGGATATGTCTACACTGCAAGAAAAGATCGGCAGCACAGCCACCACTGGCCCTGGTTAGCTGACTCAGCCCGGGCTTTGAGACTCCACAAGAGGGGGATGATCTCAGAGCCCAGGCTCCAGCCCCAAGCCCAAACATCTACACTGCAATTTTACAGCCCTGCAGCCCGAGCTCCATGAACCTCAGACAGCTGACTCGAGCTCTGTGACTCAATGCCACTTTTTCTATTGCAGTGTAGACTTACCTTAAGCCCAGGCTCTGACTCAAGTTTGAGCCCAAGCTCCCCTTCTGTCCCCCCATAAATCAGTTTGACTCATGTCAGACCCAGACCCTAGGACCCTGCTACGGGAGGTGGATCAGAGTACCACTGCGACTCAGGTCCAACCCCTGTCATTGTGCAGTGTGGACACAGGTCAAGCTGCAGACTCAAGTCAGAAAGTCTGCACAGTGCAGCATGGACATGCGTGGCTGTGAGACCAGGGTCCAGCAATTGTAAACCGAGGTTTACAATGCAGGGTGGATGCATGAGCTTGGATGACTAAGTCCACAAGCCCAGATCCTACAGACCTGGTTTACAATGCAGTGTAGACATACCTGAAGTCAAGGGCTACAAGAATTAGATAAGCACTCTTTTCTCTGAGCCTACCCAGAATCAATGCCACTGCCTGGTGCTTGAGGATGCTGCTGCAGGTACTGTCTTTCAGATGAGCTGTTTGGTTTGTGGACATTAATTATACCATTATGGATTTTGCAAGAATACATATGCTAATACCAATGTCTCTCTTAATTCCAATTTAAGCAACTGCATTGTGCCTACCCAAAAGCTCCATATAGTTTCTGCTGGCTAGAATATTCCTCACTTCAAGTCCTAAATGGTTCCGTAGGGTTGATGTGCGCTGTCAAACAGTTCAAAAGTTTTGTGGAGAAGTTCCTGTTTTTCATTAGTGACTGAAGTGATTCCTATTATTATAGTGAGAGTCACCAGATGGTACTATTACATGTAGTCTTACAGATTTACACATATTTTTCTTAATGTGTGAGCAAGGTTTTAGTCTTTGAAGAAATGCTGTATTATTGTATGTTTTTTATATGCTGTGGTCCTTTTGAGAGATGCAGCAGCAGATACCAGGGAGTTTTCTCTCTCCATTATTCTCTATATTTGGAGACAATTCTCAGGAGAGAGTAGCTTCCTAGGAGCCAAGCATTGGGGTTTCTGGAAGAGAAGATTGCCTGCATGATGTCTGTGACCATCTCTGTTCCAGGATTGGTGTATATAGGTAAATAAAGCAAGTTACATTTAGAACATACCCAGACTCTGCACTATAGATTTCTCCTCCACTAGGAAGCGGATTTGTAAGGCCCTAGAATTCTACCACTCAGCAGAGGGGTGATGCTGATGTCGGAAACAGGACACTGGTGTTAGAAGAAGGGGCAGCACCATACCTAAAGCTAGATAGATTACAGTATGTGCAATGAATCCAGAAAGGGTGTATATCAACCTGAGATCCTTTGAGAAGAAAGCTGTTTTATAAATATAAAATCACTATCAGAGGAGGATGTTCTAGGAAGGCAAGCTGTACATTGCATAACCTGTGTTACTGAACTTACGTCATTGTTTTCTTCCTCTTTAGTGACTCTGAAAAGGTATCTTCAGTACGTCTGAGTCTAGATATGTAAGGTACTGTCTTGCCTTTATTCCATCCATGGAGAAGGCAAATGGCCTTGTGGTTACTGGGACATGGAATGCCTGAGTTCCATTCTCAGTTCTGCTACAGACTGATCGTGTGAGATCTTGGGCAAGTCACTTTGGGCTAGATCCATAACTGAGGTTAGGCATCAGCATTGCAGTGCCTGATTCTTTGGCTACGTCTGCACTGCACACCACTGGCAGCGGCATGTAGTGTACGTGTAGCTACACGCCACAGTTGAAAGCAGGCTGTGTCCACACAGCCGTGTGCAGCTACACCTGTCAGTGAAAGGCCCTGGCAAGGGGGAGACAGCAGGGAAAGGCTCCTGGAGCCAGAAAGTAGCAGGACGCTACACTGCTAAAAACAGTGGTGTAGACGGGGGAAGGCATTGCTTGGGCTTGTAGAGTGCCATGTGAGATATATACCCACAGACTTCAGGCACGTCTTTACTCACCTACGCAGTGCCTCAGCATCTACATGGCTATTTATACCCATGCTGTGTGGGCGTGCAGTGCACATACTCGACACGCCGCCGGCAGGAGTGCACAGTATAGACAAACTTTAGCCGCCTTGCTGCCCAATGAATTCACAGCTGCCCAGACTCCCTGTACAATGCATGGGGAAAGCGAGGCGCCTAAGAGAGGGATTCACAGAAGCCAGCAAGCTGAGACCCATCCTTGACTAGCCAGGAGCCCGAGAGCTAGTGCAAGTTCCTGGGAGGTGGGAAACCTGCGTTTAAGTCTCTGCTCCAAATCAGGCATAGTGGAGATTCAGCCTAAGTTCCATTGTGGAATGGGGACAACAACCGCTTCTTTCTACCAACCTTTGTCTGCCTTGTCTATTTAGATTCTAAACTCTCTCGACTAGGGACAGTGTTTTATTCTATGTTCAGTGCCTACCACAATAGATAAATAATAATTAAGCCTAGGCTACCAGGACATAAAGTAACAACAATCTTCACTTAAAACTATATCACTGAGCATGAGTGCATCCAAATAGTCTAAATCCTTCAGGCGATTCTTTACATTTTGTCTTAAATTACAATGAAAAAAAAAATCAAAATGTTGAGTCCATTAGAGGGGCAAAGGCTGTTAGGTGGAATAACTATGCAGCTTTCAAAACATGTAGCAGAAAAATTCTCATTTACTTATTAACAAATACAATAGCCACCATGGTCCCAGCGGTGATCAAAGTACATAATTAAAAGTGAGAAATCAAAATCAAAATATAGGGCCTGCTCTTCCTCCCACGGGAATCAAAAGGGAGTTTTGCCATTGATTTCCATGGGAGTAAGACTGGATCAATATTTATACTCACTGCAACAAAAGAAACTAAACAGCTTCACATTGTTGACGATATTTTCCCCATAAGCTAGAAAGCTTGTGCACAGCGAACTAAATTAGTGCAACAGTCTCCATTTTTTGGCATTTCTGGATATATAAAAAACCAGTTGTATGTTATTACTGTAATATTTACATAAAGCATAACAATGTATTCAATAGCTGGGTTAGCAGCTAATCTGCATGAGATCTGTCAGCATCATTGCATTTAATTCTATTCCAATGCATCTTAAGCCATAAAATGATGGAACCATGAAATGACTGGCTGCAACCGCACTTCCTTTTACAGTTCTATTTATGAAGTCTGATGACAAAAAAAAAAAGTGTAACAGTCAGGCAAGGAAGAAAAACAGAATGAGATACATCTAAAATAATATGAAACAATTATGTGTCACAAAGTGTATCAGCTTGAAAATTTAGTCTGTCAAGGAACTGGACACTTAATTATTATAATCATTATAAACTAGAACTAATTGAAAGTGAAGATCCTTTTTTTTATCTAGGACTTATGAATTTTAAGTCAGTTACCTATTAGAATATAGCCAACGCTATGAAAATCTAAACAAATTACCCTTCTTCCAGTAAGCTTTCCTTATGCAGTTCTAGTTTCCTCTCTTGTTTTGAAGCATCTGAATAAATATTTCTAGCTAATGGCTAAATTCTCTTCCATATCTGGAATCAAAGAGGCAAGGAATATTTATACTTTGTTATTCCCTTAGAGAACGGATTTATTTAGGACAATAAAATCTATATCTACTTTCAGATTTAGTCTCTTCCCCACATTCCCTCACTGCCACTTATGAATGTAAAATTTAAAATACCTGGAACTATCTAAGGAAATAAATATAATTGCACAGCTTGTAAAAAAGTATGGCATACACTAAATGCTACTGATTTACGAGAGTCATTTTTTCACCTTCATACAGTATCAATATTTACTAAATCACAGCTGAAAATGCATTGAGACATGGTTTATTACCATTATCCCTTAGGTTCATTTAGCTTTTAGACCAGCTTTACATTGGTCCATTGTACTGCATGATAGATGGTACCGTCTAATGAATTTATGCCAGTTCTTTCTAATGTAACCATTTTTCCCCAAGCTACTTGAAAGATCTAAAATCGTTTAAATGATTTCACAGCCTTCAGTGCCGTAAATAAAGTCTTATAGTTGATGTGCTTCAGAAGCACAGGTCTCTGTTTCTATGAATTGCTTGCAGGTATAGGATCCTGGAGAATCCAAGGTGTATTTTCAGTAGACTCATAATTCTTTTTTCTTTTTTTTTAATTAAAAGTGTATAGTTCTGCATGGGAAAATCCTGTATCAAGAAGTGCCACCATAGTCAAAAAGAGAAGTATTGTCCTTCTTTTTCACTAATTTTGTAAGTTTGAAGTGTAAAGTCTACAGTATTCTCAGAAAAAAACAGGACTATGTAAAACAGACAAGCCACGCAGCTGCAAATCCCATTGTTCCAGCAATGACACATAGGTTTATCCTTTGCTACCGTGTTACCTACAAAAGGAAGAGAGAGAGAGAGAGAGAGAGTTACACACAGAGAAACTATCAGAGCAATGGTGATAAAACTGTTTTGTTCCTGCAAAGGAATTGTTTAGATGAACACATGTTAAATGATTAAATTACATTCAGCATATCTATGTATTGCATATCAACAGAAGTCATATAAACTAGTATAAAGTACAAAGCTATTTGGTAATAGAAGGAAAGATTTACAAAAGCACATATTTTACAGTTAGATTCCTAATTCCCTTTTCCTGAGAATAAGATGCCTGCTTGCCATTTGTGTCTTTGAAAACCTCCCCCAACGGCATTATCTTGAATAGCACCTTTCTTTAAAATGATATCCCAGAATGCTTTACAGAGCCAGACAACATGCGGCACAGTTAAAAACTGAAAGAACAGCTAGAGCCAACCTAGTGGTTTAGGCAAGGAGAAAAGTTGTATTTTCAGATAAATGTGGAAAATGGATGGAGAGTCAATGACGCAGAGAGATTCAGGAAGGTGGCTCCGGAACGCATGAGCTGCGGAGCTGAAGGCACTTGCACCACCAAAGTGATCGTGTGTAAGGGCTCAGAGAGGCGGCTGGTGCTATGTGAGTAAAGCGTAAGACCAGTGGAGCAAGTCTACGTGCAGTTTCATAACTAAGGAGGGTAATTTTGAACTGGATTCTGGACATGGACAATGGAAACTGGTCAAGTTTAAAGATTCAATATCTTCATAAATAATTTGGATAATGGCATAGAGAGATACACTTATAATGTTTGCAGATGATATCAACTGGATGAGGTTGCAAGCACTTTGGAGGACGGGATTAGATTTTAAAATTATCTTGACAAACCGAAGAAATGGTCAGAAATAAACAGGATGAAATTCAATCAAGGCAAATGCAAAGTCTGACACTTAGGAAGGAATAATCAATTGCGCAAATACAAAATGGGAAATGACTGCCTAGCAAGGAGTACTGCAGAAAAGGATCTGGGGGTTATAGCAGATCACAAACTAAATATGAGACAACAATGTAATACTGCTGCAAAAAAAAGCAAACATCATTCTGGGATGTATTAGCAGGAATGTTGTGAGCAAGACACGAGAAGTAATTCTTCCGCTCTCCTCAGCGCTAATAAGGCCTCCACTGGAGCATTGTGTCCAGTTCTGGGCAGCACTCTATGAGAAAGATGTGGACAAATTGGAAAAAGTCCAGAGGAGGCATCAAAAATTATTAAAAAATGAGGAAAGATTGAAAAAAATGAGTTTAGTCTGGAGAAGAAAAGACTGAGGGGGGACATGAGAACAGTCTTCAAGTACATAAGAGGAGGGTGATAAATCGTTCTCTTTAACCACAGAGGATAGGGCAAGAAGTAATGAGCTTAAATTGTAGAAAGGGCGATTTAGGTTGGACATTAGGAAAAGCTTCCTAATTGTAAGGATAGTTAAGCACTGGAACAAATTGCCGAGGGAGGTTGTGGAATCTCCATCATTGAAGGTTTTTAAGAACATGTTGGACAAACACCTGTCAGGGATGGTCTAGACAATATTTAGTCCTGCCTCAGTGCAGGGGACTGGACTAGATGACCTGTCAAGATCCCTTCCAGTCCTACATTTCTATGATTCTCTGAGTCAATGTGGGCATGCTCCTATATCTGTGTCAGAAGATGGGCAGCAGCTTTCTCCAGGGCTAGAGAGTGGCAACTTGAGAAGGCCCTGGAGAAAGGAGTTGAAATAGTCCAGACTAGAAGATGGAGGCATTGAGGAGGTCAGAGGAGTTGGAGCTGAGGCAGTGGCAAACGCAGACAGTGTTTTCAGAGGGGGAGATGTGCAGATTTGCAGACACAGGAGTTGAAGGAATCCTCAGACTCATGCATGACACTGAGATGATGGACAGTGGGGACAAATGGGATGCCTGAGTTCAGAGGAGATGAAGCCCTGCTTGAGAATGCTACTTCTGCCCAGGCAAGTGCTTCTGTCTTTACATGCAGTGCTTGTAGTTTAACACGTGTATATTAAAGCACTCACTGTTAAGTTTCCCAGCAATTTTTCAATTGATAGCTAGTCAGCAATTCAGCACATCAAAAATCTAGTTTCTAACCACGACTAAAATGCTCTGTTGGTCTGCTTTCCTTGTTAAATATAAACATGTGCAGAAAGTATTCCATTCATTTTTATTTGGCTTCACAAGACAATTACTCCAAGAAGGAAGCATTTACTTGTTTCACTGTCCCTGATTAGTCATTGTAACTACGTCTATAAATACACAGTAAATATATGAGTGTCTCAGACTGCATGTCTGGCTAGTGTTTTGATGAAATTGAAAGTCAACGTAAAAAGTGATCACAGGAACTTTCTTTCTGCAATGCATAATTAGCCTGTGGAACTCCCTGCCACCAATTATCATTGAGGCCAAGATTTTATAGGCTTCAAAAAGGAATCAAACATGTAAATAGATAAAATCATCCCCGTTTTTTTTAAATTTGGAATGGATTTAAACCTTCACAACTTGAGACATAAGCCAACCACTAAATTGTGGGCATGAAGAAGAAACTTCCCCTTTGGGCAGGTCATTCTAGAGCTGTCTATCTAGAGGTTTCTTGTACTTTTCCCTGGGAAACATTCAACCAGCTACTGTGACTGGATCACCCAGACCACTGGTCTAATCAGATATGGCTATTTCTATGTTCTTCTATTTTATATCATAGAATCATAGAATATCAGGGTTGGAAGGGACCTCAAGAGGTCATCTAGTCCAACCCCCTGCTCAAAGCAGGACCAATTCCCAACTAAATCATCCCAGCTAGGGCTTTGTCAAGCCGGGCCTTAAAAACCTCCAAGGAAGGAGACTCCACCACCTCCCTAGCGTCCAGTTTCAGTACCACTCACCTAACGGAGAAATCAAGATTTTTGTCCAGGGAGGTGCTGTTTTTGTCAATTCTACTTAACTCATTTTTTAAAAAATCCTGATCTCTGATTACAACATACATAATTCTTCTCCCACAGGACAGTAATAATTATAAAATTAACCTGTTTATTTTACTGTAAAATCTTCTACTGTACACAGTTATTTAGAAACTGCAGTGCCAGACTTCATAATTTTTTGTAACAGCTCTACACAATAGCTGGAAGCAGTTATACAGATGAATTTACTATATATGCATAAGATTAATAAAGGACATAAAATATTTTATACCTTTCCAGTCAGTCTTGGTTGGATTAATAAAGTTTTATTATCTGAGAATTATTCTCAAGTGGCAGAATCCTAAAAACTAGTGATAGTATCATGATGACTTGGGGAACAGTATTATGAGATTTTGTCTTCTTGCAGTGCTAAATGAAATGTCACTACTACTGGGGATCTAGCACATTTATAGTCCCACCTCACAAAGTACACCTCACAGGTTTACTTACTGATAAAGAGATGCAGAACCACAGATAAATACAGAAAGGCCTGGATGGGCCAGCAAATCATAGGAATGAAGAGCGTAAGTAGTAACTTGTCTGCATGCAAAATACATTAAACAAAATACGAACAAAGAAGCAATGCTCTATCACAGAGTTCATACTAAGAAATGTGTGTTGCTGGGCAGCTGATTGGGTGGCCTTCCTTTTGAAGAAGCTATTGGCTTGCGCCTAGAAGGAAGTGCTGCCGATCACTGGTTCAAGAGGATCCCAAGCTTAGGTGTCACTGAAACATAATACTTGTTATTGTTCATCTTTGTATTTATATTAAAGCAGTCCCCAAAGTCCTGAGTCAGAATTAGGGACCCCATTGTGCTGGATGCTAGACATACACCTATAGAAAAGCAGTCCTTGTCCCGAAGAGTTTACTATCCAAAAGGTGGGGGCCAGGGACAAATTTCAAAGGGTGACCCAGTGGCCTAATGGATAAGGCATCAGCCTCCGGAGCTGGGGATTGTGGGTTTGAGTCCCATCTGGGTCATACTGATCATATGTTTGGGGGGAGGGATGGCTCAGGGCTTTGAGCATTGGCCTACTAAACCCAGGGTTATGAGTTCAATCCTTGAGGGGGCCATTTAGGGATCTGGGGCAAAAATCTGTTTGGGGATTAGTCCTGCTTTAAGCAGGGGGTTGGACTAGATGACCTCCTGATGTCCCTTCCAACCCTGATATTCTATGAAAGGGAAAAGCATGCACACAGCGTAGTCAGAGCAATAATTCCAGTTTCTATCTATAGCTATTTGCCAATGTATGAATTCAGACATTTGCCCATTTAAGAAAACAATTTTTTCCCTCACTGCATTTTACAATGAACATGTCTCATATTTAAAATATACTGGAGCAAGTGCTGTGCACCTGTTATTTGCATGCCCTTTCCCTTAAATGTCCCTCCAAAGTGGTCTGCTACGGTGCGGAACGTACTCGACGCCCCAGCAAAGGAAAGGAGGGGTTTCACGGAACTACACGAGCTTTCTCAGGGATAAACTCTGTCCTCAGCTGGACCCCAATGGGTTAGGGTGGGTCTAGGAATTCACACAGGTCTAACTGAAGGCAGAACGATTTGCCCCACTCTGCCTTTCTGAAGACATCCCCATGGCCATCACAATGCATTAGCCTATTCTCTGGTTTGCTGATTGCAGGGGGTTTTATTTTGGGGATAATAATATAAATGGCAGCTGCTGCATTTACCCCAAGCTACTGCAGTCTCTGTTCATTGTTTATGGGCCAGGCCCTTCAAACACTCACAAACAGGAGCAGTTTCACTCAGATGCGTGGTCAGTCCCACGGAAATCGAAGGGAGCAAAGGAAACCAAATGCATTAAAGTGCTTGCAGCACCAGCCCTGATGTTATTAATCCTAGCAATGTTCCTAGTTTGGCCTTTTAACCCTTTCCTTTGTTCATTTTTAAAGCCATTGAGTAGATCAAATTTTTAAAAATGATTTTAACTTGCCTTTTTCTAGATACATAGCGCTAGATTCCCCACTCATGTCAATGGGAGTAGCTCTATTACTTCCTATATATAATTTCTACTTTCTCCAGCTCACTCCTTTGTTTGAAGTCATCTGTCCTCATTCCAGGTCTGACTTAGTGCCTGATCCCGTGAGGGAACTCCACTGCTACTGACTTTAACACAGCTGGAAGATAATCAGCAGTTTGCAGTTGTGCTTAGCAACTCACAGGAATGGACCCATCCCCCCCCAATCCTGCAATTGACAAAGCACTGTACAGGTGGACTGTCAATTGCAAGATCAGGAGCAGAGACTGTAAGCTCCAGGAGGCAGGGGTATGGCATGATTTAGCCACGGCTATAGCATTATACAAATATTAATTTGTGACCATTGTTCTAACCTTGAAAACAGCGGCAGTGTTTTTCAGACTATGAATTGTATCTCTCTCCTTGGGTATTTAGTTAGCCCATCATCATGGGATCTGGGTTGTTAACCCCCAGATAATAACTACTCACAGTATCACATAACAATTGCCCGATACATTTAATTTTTTCTGATCTAATATAGAATGTATTATATCCTTTCACTACTGTGTGAAACAGTCATTATCAAATGGAATCTGGCAGCAACATTTGCTTATTAATTCATAACAAACAGCTGAATCCATTCTCAGTTTGAAGCGGTGTGGGGAGGGGTCAAAGGCTAACCATTTATCTTTACAGGTTGTTGCCTGCTATTTTCACGATGTATTTAGACACACAGTCCACTATGAGTTGCCAAATCTTAGCTCCTTGAATTAATTTTAGCTTGTTAAATAGTCAGAGGGATGAGATATTTGCCTCATATTCAGTGGTCATTAGTTATGAATCTGGGCTTCATAATGAAGACCTTGGCCAAGACATTAAAAAACGGGCAGCTAAAGGTAAGCCCATAATTATGCTCCTAGGTCAGTGGGCAGACCTTCAATGGTGCAGAGAGCTTTATGGCTCCTATCAGAAATCTGTGCAGATTCTCCACACCTTTGAAAGTCAGGTCACTTGTTTTGGTCTCTCACCACAGAGTCAGGAACCAAACTTTAGTCAGTCACTTGTGAAAATCTTGGCTTTGCATTGTCATTTTGCAGATCAAGGTCATTATCCTGTTATCAATACAAGTGAGCTGTCCTTCCTCACACAAACAGGCTGATGAAAGGCTGAAGTGTTGGGCCCAAAATGAATGTAGTGGACTTGCCTGACTGAATATTTGCCTGTGGCAATGACCCTCTATGCTGACAGGCACAATAAGGCATGCTCGGCAATCTGTCCTTGGGACAGGCCAAGCCCTGCTGGAAGGGGAAAATCCTGCTCCTGCCGTAGGGCACTGATGAAGTCCTGCTGAAAAGGGATGAGAGGGCAGGATTTTGGGGAGACGGTGCAGGAGATGCTAACCCCCATGCGGTGCAAAACTCAGCTCTCTGGGAAGACTGGAGTTTGAGGCAGAGCTAGCCACATGATAACCCACTATGAGGATCCTAGCCCTTCTCCTGTTGAGAATGAGAGAGGTGCTAGAGATGTGCAGCCCCTAACTCTGCTCTCCACCAGATCACTGTAGCACCCAACTAATTTAATCGAGCTAGGTACTGGAGAGAGGAGTAGTCACTCCTCAGCTTCGATCCAGCAGTGTCTTCACTGGGAGCAATCACACACATGACTGTTTTAAAAAAAAAACCCAAAACGTTTAAGATGGTGAGATTGATGCTAACACCAGCAGAGCAGGGTCAATGGAAACGAGCGTTTGTTGTCACTAGACTGTCACCTTTAAATCTAGAGAGACAAGGTGGGTGAGGTAATATCTTTTATTGAACCCACTTCTGTTGGTGAGAGACACACGGTTCGAGGTGACACAGATCAGAGCTCTGTGTAAGCTCGGAAGCTTGTCTCTCTCACCTGGTTCAATACAAGATATCACCTCACCTACTTGTCTCTCTAATATCCTGGGACCAACATGGCTACAACAACACGGCATAGCTTTTAAATATACACGCTCTCTATACTTGCCTTTGTGGTTTTGACTTTATTTCCACTGCTGCAAGACCAACCTGAATAGTCCGGTAGTACTTTACAGTCCTCTCCATCTAGGCAAGGGTTCATGTGACACCACCACTTCTGGATGACAATGGAGGCTAGAAACAGAAACAGAATACAGTGTTTTCTATTAAGTTGATGGTTTCAGCTGCAGGAAAATTATGTGTGAGCCATTTATTTGTTTAAAAATTATACTGTCCTGTTCGTTTTATATTTAATCTAGCATTTATCCATTAGGCGGAAAATATATTCACCATGATTAACCAGTCTGCAAAGACCCGATTCTAAAACCATTACTCACACGAGTACCAGAGTCCCATTGAATTCACTGAGTTGAATTATTTATGCTATTCAGTGAACGTTTAAGTTGCTCTGGCTTCTTGCCTATGTATGTTAATACTTACAAGCTTGTCTACACAGTGCAGTAATGCACACTAGTGGGGTGAATTCTAATGTGCACCAAAACTAGTATGATGTTAGCAGGCACTACGGACATTTTTGCACACACCATCAGGTCTACACAGGCCAGTTAGTGCGCAGCATTGGTGTGCCTCAGAAGTCACACCCCACTGCTGAGCATTACTGCAATGTGTAGCCAAGCACTACTTGTCCATGACTGCTGCATCTGTGTCTCCGGATCGGCAGGATATTGGTTCCAGGATGCTGGTATGGAGATGGATGCTTAGATATCATGGTGATAGACTACCTTAGCTAGATAAACAAGTGTCAGACTGGCAGTAGGGATCATAGCTAGGCGTCAGTCCTTGTACCCTGCAGCTGACATGGTCAGGAGGAGGTTGGAGCATGAAGTGGTACCATCTCTTTCTCATTGTGATGGACTGGAAAGCAATGTAGGGACGGGCATGGCTCAAAGAACTATCATGCCAAGCAGGACATGCAGGGACCGGGAAGAATTCTGGCAATTACTTCCTTATGACCACACCAATCTGGTCTGAACTGTTAATGAAATGGATTTCCAAGGGAGCCCTGAACCCAGCCACAGCTGATAGGTCCAAAAACCTAGTGACAAGATAGAGGGTAAATGTCACAAGCAGATGATGCTCACATCAGTGTAATACAATCAATCAATAAGAACAGCAGCAGCTAATGAGACCATCACACCAGCTTGCTATGAAAAGTTACCCTCAAATGGAGTGGATCTGTTGAGTGCAGGATAGTAAATGTTTAACCTGGATGTCTGTGCTAGGCTGGAAGTGGTTCTGTCAGCAGGTAAGAAAATATAATGGTTCAGACCTTTGAGCTACAGGAGTTCTATCAGACACTCACGTAGAGAACAAAGACCCAGGAGTGGGTAATCTATTGTAATACCACTGGGGGGGAAAAAACCATATGAATAGTTAACTAAGAATCTACTTTCAATTGCATCCTGTCACTCTTGCAGTAGACTACACTATTATACTTTATGCAGATTTAATAATTTTCTACTCTTAACACAATTTGTCTCCGACTATGCTTTTCAGTTTTACAAAAGCAGCCGTAACTTCTTACTAATGCAGACAACAACAGAGATATTTTGCCACAAAATGTTACAAACTTTTGCAATGCATTCCTGATTTAACATTAGTACTGTGGGTGTGATTAATCAAATCACAGAAAACAATTTGGAAGATATGGGTCTGCAATTTTACATAATCTAAAGTGGAGAGCAAATAAAATATGGCTACAAATGTTGATTTAGTTCCTTTGCACTTTTTTACTATGTGCTCAAAATACTGAACTTCATACTTAACAAGGTGCCTTGTTCTAAAGTGATGCACAAAAATAACACAGCTTACTTTATGTAAAGATAAACAATTTTTCATTAGTTCAAAAGGTACTTTCCTACTACTGCAGCCTTCAAACTAGATTAACTAACATCAAGCTCTGAAACCTAACATCAAGCTGACATTGGAAGATTCAGGTGCTGAAATGCTGATTCAATTACTTATTTTCCAGAGTATCTTCTCAGTCTAGATGGTATTTAGAGGCATCTGTGGACTGAAAAATACCTTTTTGGAATAACAGTTTGACTTCAGATACTCTCCATTCAACCTACCGGAGTTATAAATGAATACATGGTTCTTGTCATCAAGCATTTGCTTCTACTCCAGCTGATGGATTATTGATTGACTAATTTGAATGAAACTTAATTGTGCGTCATGGCACTTTAGAGATCATTTCCATTCTGAGCTTATTACCACCTGATCAGTTTGTTTTAGATCTTTGCTATTTGCCAAAATTCTGATTTGTTTTGCATGCTACGTGTATTTAGGTAAGCATGTATTTCTAATTACAAAGTTCTTTCATTAACGGAGCACAGATTCTCTCTATTAACATCCCCGTCTCCATGTATACATGCAATTATTTCTTTTCTTTCATTGTTCCATCCAGCTTCTTTTTTGTACTGAGAGCAACCATTATAATTAATTGGTCATGATATGTTTGTAGACTAACCCACAGAGGGCATCACTAAATGTGAGGCAATTTTCATTTGTGTTCTCAACCTACATCCTCCTCTCAACCCATTTCCAACACCTGATTGAATATCCCTTTCAAAGAAATACTTCAAGAATGAATCTCCAGTGCCAGTTGAATAACCCTGCAATATAGGACCTGATTCACTCCGGCACTATTAGAGTTTTATGTCCGAGTACCTCCGCTGATTTCAAATGGTGTAAAATCGGAATAAATAGGACAGTGAATGAGGCCCATTATTTCCAGAAGCACCCTATTCCATCAAAAGCCAGCACAGCCACTAACTAAAAGCACCAAAGAGTAAATCAGGCATTGGACCTGCAAGCTCTTAAATGGCCAGAATATTTCAACTTCAGCTCTTTTCTAGTTGTGATTCTTTTTCACTGATATTCCAATTTCTTTTCTTTCATTGGCTGGTTTCTGCTCTGTGTTGATACCGTTCTTCAGAATAAGTGAAACCCTTTCTTGATATACTTAATATATTTTGTTCTATTTGATGTAGCAAACCACCAATTCTTTGCTATAGTATAGCACCAGTTCTTATGTCAATTTATGCCAGGATTCTCTTGTGTCCATAATGTCTATTTTGTAGTGCCGTATTTCTTAGCTCTCTGGGCACATTTGATCATTTGAAAAATGCTTCCTGTATTCCTATACTAGGAAAGTTCTCAGGCTGGATTTTAGACTAAACTCTTCTTCATAGAAATAGTTACTAAACTTTTGCTGTCCCTATCACTGTTTGAATCATGGAGTGATTTAAAATATCTCCTCCCCTTATCAAATTGAAGAGTTCTTGGGGAGGTTTCAGTAACTATTTTTTCAAATAGAATCATAGATATGTAGGGCTGGGAGGGACCTTGAGAGGTCATCTAGTCCAGCCCCCTGTGCGGAGGCAAGACCTAATATACTTAGAATAGACCATCCCCGACGCAGGTTTGTCTCACCTGTTCTTAAAAACTTCCAATGATGGGGATTCCACAACCACCCTTGGAATCCTATTCCATAGCTTAACTATTCTTACAGATAGAAAGTTTTTCCTAATATCTAACCTAAATGTCCTTTGCTGCAGATTATGCTACCTACCTTATGCCTTGTCCTACCATTAGCGGACATAGAGAACAACTGATCACCGCCTCTCTGAGTATACCAATCTCATATTCTACCAACATCTTGAGGGAATAGAAGACTACTTTGGCGTGACATCTACCAACCGACTGTGGACTGCCCTAGCTGGAATAAATCTTCTGCTGACACAGCTCTGCAGGGAAGCAATAGTAGATTCCATTACTAGTAAATAGTATATTGCCCTAGGTGGGGGATAGTTTGGCTTGTGATGATTTACTTAGAGATACGTTTAACACACTTAGGAAAGGTAGCTTCACCACAGACAAGAATTATTAATGCTTTATCCTCTTGGTAGTGGCTGTCAGCCTAGCTTTAGGTACTTACTCAAGGATGTTTATTTCTACAGAGGAAACGGGAGAAAACTAAATGTCATAATGATCACTTTGAATTTAAGTGTTTACCGCTTGTTCATAGCACAAGGAGTTGACCTTTACTAAACCAAATTTTCTATGGCTCTGATCACATCTTACACCTGCAACGCTAAGCAGTTATGCAGGCTCTCTTATTTTTTTTTAACTCACTGATTATTAAAAATTCTTCCTTTCATATTCTGCGCTCTGTTCTGAGCTTGGCAGCTTAATTTATCTACAGTAGTGTTTCTCAAAGCATGTGGTTGGCCTGTCTTCGGAGGCTCAAAGAACCCCAGGGAAATGAGGCTTGGGGGGAGGGGGGATTGAGGGGAGAGAAAGAAATAGTCTTGCTTTTTTTTGTTCAAGACTTGCAAAAAACAAAAACAAAAATCTAGTCAATAGCGTTCAGTACTAAAACATCTACCTCTGTATATACAATATGCGCACACACATAGATGGTTCCTTGTTTGCTGCACTCAAAGTGGAATGACCTTAGTGAGAAAAAATGTAATGAGTGGGCTATCATGAACATGGAATAAAAATATACAGACCCAATGCCTTATTTTAAGGAAAATACCTTTTGCCCCTGCACCCTATTTTAAGAGTACTTCTGCCAGGGAATACCGGTGGACTTTTTTGTGCTTGGCGGGAAAATGCAATGGAAAATCCTGCTCTATTGGTTTTCACCTTTCCACTTTTCATTTTAGAGAGCTATTTTGACTTCTGCTACAACCAACATTTTAAGTTCCCTGGGTGAAAGACTGTAGAAGTGCAAAGCACTTTACAAATACTAATTAAGCCTCACAACACAGAAAATATTACTAGATTCATTTTACAAATGAGACTGGGTAAAATGAATGAGGATTCAATTTAAGGCTCGATTTCTTACATTCAAGGCACTTAAGGCTTTCAGTCCAATGCTTTTAATTAATGTTGCATTCCTTTCTGTAGCACGTGGTTAGCTGCCAACAATCTTCTGACCAACTTTCGCCTCTCCAGGCATATTCCAGATGAAGGTGTTTTCCAATTAGTCCAACATTGGTAGAATTCCTCACCTCGCCAGATTTGTTTGGCTAATTTTAATTTCTACATAACAGTTAGGGGCAGATCCCCAGCAGGTGCAAGTTGGCATAGCTTCATTATGGCACTCTGTATCCCCTGATTCCCAGGGTGGGGGTATGGATGGAGTGACCATGTATGGACCTCTGCATGCCCTGGGCTCTGTAAAAAGGGGTTCTGTGCTTGCCAAAGCCAGGCCAATGCACATGGGTAGCTAGAGCTGAGCTGAGTAGAGAGCCAAAGCATCTATGACAATGTATGTCCAGAGGTCCTAATGCACTACAGAGGGTTTGCTGAGCAGCAGTGGACACTATTCTGGCCTATGGGTTTGGGTAGTTGCAGTGGACAAGCTGCATTGTGGCATTCACACTCCCAGTGTGTGTCCCACACACAACCTCATTTCTATATTTATGCAGCTAGGGTGACTGCCACACTCATTGACCAGTGAAGTACCAAGTTTCCATGCCAAACTCTGCAGTGATGTTATTTTGTAGAGTGCCCATGCAGTCTCCAGGTCTACACAAAATGCACATGGGCACTCACCTGACCACATAACCCCATATTCACAGGCACGCATGCCCATTATAAATTAGCACAAACCTGAGGCCTCTCTGAAAATTTGGCCCTACATGTCACCATGTTTGTTTGAAAGTATTTTGAAGTCTGACCCATTAGTTCACTACATTACACTCTATTTCAACACACAGTATTGCTGTAATAAGACTGCTGTTTTAATTCGACCTTCTGGAATATTCTTTAACATCTGTCCAAGCTATTTTAAAATCCAAATTACCCAGCTGAGCTATGATTCTACTCTAAATGCCATAATGATTATTTTTTAAAATACCTATTTCATGGCCTACTTACACCAAAAGCCATAACACACAGTACTTAGCAGCAAAGGTCACGTAGGGCCCAATCCATATCTCACTGAAGTCAATGAAAAGGCTCCATTTACTTCAATGGGAGCTGAGTCAAGAAACAAGTTAATGAAACATGAGAAAGACCAAACAAACATTTGAGAAAATTTGAGAAAATTTCCCAATTTGCTGAAAAGTCAAGAATCATAGAATATCAGGGTTGGAGGGGACCTCGGGAGATCATCTAGTCCAACCTCCTGCAGGACCAATCCCCAGACCCCTAAATGTCCCCCTCAAGTATTGAACTCACAACCCTAGGTTGAGCAAGCTATTGCTCAAACCACTGAGCTATCCCCCCACTAAGCTAGCCTTACCCTTAAAGTCTCATTGCTGCTACCAGCTGTGCAACTGACAAGAATGTTAATTTCAGCCAGCAGCTGCCTTGGGTCTGTGGCCAAAGACTCAGGGATTCCAGACTCCCAGGTCAGCTCAGAAATTGGTAGCAACTGGCCAAGTAGTCTGGAAGCCCTGCGGTTCCCATCCTAGGGCAGTCCACATGGCAAGACTGGCCTGCAACCACAGACCCTGGAAACACACTTCACGACCTCCAGGGTCCTGGTTCCACAGCTGGCAACCTGGAAACCCCACAAGCCCTGGCATGGCAAGACTGTCCCAGCGCCATGTGTAGGCCTTTCTTGGTAGGAGTGGGCCCCAGTAGCCAAGGACAGGGAAAGAGAGAAGCTATGTAAAAACAGGGGCAAGAAATAATTGTGTCAGAAGCAATGGCTACAAATACATAGAAGGAAGATAAGCACACAAGGTGGAAACTAACAAAATACAAGGAGGGAACTAACAAAACAGGCTGTGTACGTGTGGCATGTGAACGAGGAATGATAGGTACAGGAATTGATCCTGAAAATAACCTGGCCAATCATAAAGTTCACTATATGATGTAGAATGGAAGACACGTGTCAGTATGGGGTTTCATTTGTATATAAAGTAACCAATATTTGTACTCTTTGGATTTGTGGTATGCCCTGTACCCACCCCTACCCGTGAGTCTAATCAGCTCTGTGTAGTTTGATTGTATGCCAACAATGAAACTTGATGATGAGTCCGGAGTCGAGTTGAGTTCTTGGGAACCTGAGAGAAATCCCAACACCTCAGAAATAGAAACCCTGGGATACACATGGCAGACCTTCACCAAAGCAACAGAGTCTGGAAGCCTGAGGTACCTGGCCCTAGGGCAGTCTGTGTGAAATTATGTCCATTACAAAGACTGCTAAGTATAGACTGGGACTCAGGAGAACTGGGTTCTATTCCTGGCTCTGACACTGTTTTGCTGGGTGACCCTGGACAAATCACTTCACCTCCTGGGTCTCGGCATCCCCATCTGTAAACTGGGGATAATGATGCTGACCTCCTTTGTAAAGTACTTTGAGATCTATAGACGAAAAGCGCTAGATAAGACAGAGGGATTATTATTATTATTATTATTAAAGGTATTTTTACCAAGGGCTGCCTATTCTTCCTTAATGATTTTTCCATTCTGGCATCATAATTCTTCCTGAACTAATATCATTTGTATCACCCTTGTTTATGTAATGGTATATGAACTGATGTGAGTAGCGCCACTGAACTCAATAGGACTAATCATGTGGGTAAGTATTCAACAAGTTGAACAAGGGTTCCATGTTCTGGTGTAATACGGAGACCTAGTCCTGGACCAGGATCCCATTGTGAAATTGTGTGTAAAGTCTTTTGTATTTCACTTTTCTCCTACTATGGCTGTACAGATTGTAAAGAATTTGGGGGCAAGGACTGTCTTTTAAGTATTATTATTACACGGTGTATGCGAAATGCTTGACACAAAGAGAAGTGTGCTACCTGAATACAAATAATATTAGCTAAGCTTAAAAGAAGATACCTTAAAAAGCCACTCAAAATAAGCGCTCTAAAGTACACTTTGTTTCAGTTAGAATGTAACCAGTAATACTGCGCTTTCAACAAGACCTTTAACTCTCATGTTACGAATGTGCGGAATGTGGTCCAATTAAATCTTCTTGACCTTGGTAAAATCTCTGGGAAAAGAATAATGAATCTCTTTCATTATATTTAAAATAATTAGTTATACAAGTCGGGCCATGTTGAATATTATCTCTTTCTGACTTTTGCACTGTTGAGGCTTACAGAAGTCTGTGTATATAGTGAAAAATCCAATTTTGAGCCTGTGAACAGATAGTTATGGGTTCTGTGCAACAGCAGAGGAATAAAATGTCATTGAGTCCAGATCTAAATGCTTACAGAAATACATAAAGTATATTAAAACATCACCTTAAGGGGAAAAAAATCAAGAGCTTCTGCTTTTATAACTAAAAATCTTGCATTCTAAATGTTTTGTCTTATTTAATCTCAAGCACACTTGAAGGAAAAGAAGCCATTAAATTGTTTCAGCAAGTGTTTGCTTTGACAAAATAAATTAGACTTTCACTGCACCATGCACTTCATTCTGTCGTGAAAGCACAGAGTGTTACCTTTGTAATACTAAAGTATATTTTAATAAATGTCTAGACTTTATTATCCACCATAAAGAACAGTAAAACTGTGGCATGGTATGTTACATAAATGGTACAGGTACTGCATATGATTCTACAGGAAAAATTATTCAGTAAACTGAAAAATTAAGGTTGAATTGTGCCCCTGCATTACAAGATATTTCAGACATCAAGCCAAATCTAATTCCTAAATAAAATAACAGGGTCTCAGAAATAGAAAACATATAAGTAGGTAAAGTAAGTACTAAAATCAGACAGTTACATTTATTTGTAGGATTTTTCCTACAGTGAAACATTATAGAAAGTCAGAGAAACCGAGGGTATTTTGTATTTAACTTTTAAAGGTGATCATTTTGTGAGAAAAGCAATGAAAACAGAAGATAAGTATCTTACTTGTGGATTAACAAAAATGTAGGGCAGTGATTTCTGTGTCAATATTAATTAGCAGTAAGCTACTAAAAATTTTCTGCTTTATTTCAATTTAAATGTAAATTTCACAGACTTTTATATGTAAAGATCCTTTTAATTCTTACTGACAAATAAGCTAATGAAGACTTATACTAGCCATTTCCTAACATAAAAACATCCCATGGCCAGAAGCAGCATATGTGTTCGGAGACAAACAATGAAATATTTAGAGAGATTTGAGTCTTTGGGGGTAGATATTTCAGCTACACAAATTCATTATAAGATCTGGCTGCATTATAAGATCTCAACTCAAGAGAAAATTTCTTAGTTTATAACTTTTTAATTTATATCAGTCAAGTGTTATAAAAAGCGCTATTTACCAGTGCCAACAAACTGAAGACTGCAAATTGATCTTTAAACTGTGCCTTGTGCCTATGGGTTGTAAAGCTCTCCAAACTAACCCGAAGGCAAGGGTGATGGACTAGATCAGTTTGTACTATGCTTTTGCATTTATCAGAACATCATAACAGTGCCACCTATTGTTTGTGGCACCAATTCAATGGTACATAATCAACTCCCTTGGGATTCTTCACATGCCATCTCATTTGGGTTAGAATGCACACAAAGCTGAATGGATGTAGGACAGAGGAGACACATGGGGGTCCAGTGCAGAAGCTCACTATCATTATAGGGTGCTGGATTATGCCAGCCTAGAGGAGAGTTCACACAAACCAGATGTCTCAGTACTAATCTGCTTGCCCATGGCTACGAAGTACTGGATCGATGACCAGTCAGTGGTTTCTTTATGTCCCAATGATTCCATGGCCATGCTGCTATATCTAGAGGCAACTGGATGGGTTAATGATTAAACTCACAATGTCTTGGCTTGTGTAGTTTTGAGGCTAGTTTAAAGTACAATTTTTAATATGGAAAAACTAAGAAGTTTTATTGGCACAGACATGAAATGAACAAGAACATATATTAAGGGGATTAATTACACCAAGATTTATGCACACTCATTATCATCAACGAACAGAGATGTTTCCAAAATTAACAAAAGGAAGGATTATGCTTTCTAGACAGCAGGAAGTCAAACAATCAAGGAGACTAAACGTCTCAGAGAGCCAAAGGGCAGTAGGAGTGAGTGGGAGATTGCTTACCTTCGACGCAAGAGGGCTGTGCCCTTGTTGTTCCAGCCACCTGCCCCGGGAAGCAAGAGCACTTGACTGTTTGCGACCGTTCTTCAATTCGGTTCTTATTGCAGCAACGATGCACTGCGACGACTTCACACGTCCCTTGCTTGACTTGGTGGTGGCCTAATAATCAGAGAGGTAGAAGTGTTGAGGGGGAGGGGTATTACTGTCATGGTGCCAAAAGAGAATCAATCAACGCAGGGGAAATATAGCAGTTTACTGTGGTGAGAGTGTGCACAGTTCTGCAAGACGCTGAGCCACTTCGATTCTCACTGGAGCCCTCGGAGGGGAAGGCACCAAGCGCCCCCTGCAGGACCAGGCACATGACTTGCACTTCACATGTTATATTTAATTCAGATTAGTTCATCATAACAGTGCTTGGTTTTTTCTATCTGTCTCCCTCCATCAATTAGCCAGCCCTTATAAATGCATAAAGAGAATGACAAGTTTACTAGATAGACTAGACAGGTGGATGATATAGACAGAGAGATCTACAAATCCATCTAAACGTCACTCTCCTGCTTAAATACTTCCACTGGCTTCCTGTCTCTTATCACGTCAGATTCAAGCTCGTTGCCTTCATCTGTGAAGCTCTAGATAATGTTGCCTTGCTCTCCTTTCTCCCTACTCATCCTCCATTTCCTCTCACTTTTACTCTCCCCTTCATCTCTTCCCCCCACCCCCCACTCATCTTCATGCCTCCTGTCAAGTCCCTCACTATGCATGGAAGGATTTCCTGGCTTGTGTTTGTCTTGTCTTATTTAGATTACAGGGTCTTCAAGGCATTGGATGGGTCTTATCTATGTTTGTAAAGCACCCTGTCCATTACCAATACCATATAAAAGATTTTTTAATGAGTTAGCTAGACACAAAGATGAGGCAGAGAATCATAAAGTATTTGCCATCAAAGCAGTTCTGGGGCTTTGTCTGAAAAGAATGCAAGGGACACATGTAAGTGTCGGCGGGTGCATACTATCAAAGGCCTGGTTAAATAAAAAGAAAGTGAAAAGTAGAAGAATACTGTACAAAATAGTACATCAGATACATCAAAAAAGCGGAGAACTTTACGACGACAAGCCCTGGAGAATTGTTCTGTTCTCCTACTCACAGAAAAGCTCAGGACTGTGACGGGGGAAAGCAGGCACACAAGTCAGTAGCAGTAATGAACTGAAGCATGGACATTTCCTAGCAGCTAATGACCAGCTGGGCCAAGATGAATTAGCTCCCCAATTAACTGCCAAGAAATTCCCTCCCCGTTGTCCACTAGTACTCAGTGACAATATGTTTGATTATTAAGTGATCATGACGTGCCAGCAAATTAAAAAAAAAACAATGTCCACAATGGGAAAAATATGCTCTGGTGCATTTTAACTACACCACAAGGCTGCTCCAAGGAACTTGTCATATTAAGATGTTGCCATTCAGTGAACTGCATAAAAGATGAAGTGCCAGAAATCTGTGCTGTGCTTGTTAGGAGGCATAGGGACAGCATCTCCAGGGACTGCTCTACCCTACAGCATGGTTCTGGCCACAACCATCCTACCCATGAATCACCCCTTATTGGGGACTGTGTAGGAGAGACACATAGGCACTGACTTTAACAGGACTACCCCTAAGGGAATAGTCAAAGTGAGTGATCAGATCAGAATCAGGCCTTATAATAATTATATAATTAATGGAGATATCCCATCTCCTAGAACCGGAAGGGACCTTGAAAGGTCATTGAGTCCAGCCCCCTGCCTTCACTAACAGGACCAAGTACTGATTTTGCCTCAGATCCCCAAGTGGCCCCCTCAAGGATTGAACTCACAACCCTGGGTTTAGCAGGCCAATGCTCAAACCACTGAGCTATTCCTCCCCCACCCTTTAGTGCCTGTCCCTTATTTCTAATATCAACTGAACCAAAATCACTGATCTGAACACCGCTACATTTAGGGAAAGTGAACCTATAACCGAACTTTGCAGTTTTGACCCATCTCTAGTTAACGCATGAAGACAGCAGTGCACAAAGCAGACATGCATTCTCTATAAACATGCACCAGCAAATATCAGTGGGCTAAATCCTGCTCTGCTCACTCACACAAACACATCCCATTGAAGTGAATGGAATTTCTCCATTGCGTGTGTAAAATGAACAGGATCTAGCCCAGAGTTTGCTAAACAGAAAGCCACCAAAAATCAGCGGAGCTGGGAATATTATAATTAAGCTTCTGAGGAGGTTTTTCACACATGGAGAGTATAAAAAAATTAAACTTTTCTTTTTTTTAATTAGATTGGCTTACCAGTGTCCCTTTTGTGTGTGTGTGTGTGTGTGTGTGTGTGTGTGTGTGTGTGTGTGTGTGTGTGTGTGTGTGTGTGTGTGCTTTCACAAGTATTTCAAACCCAGCTGGAGATGTGTCTGATCTCTGCTGTCAAATTGGTATGTACAACAATCTTAATGGACAGAAAACTAGGTATCTATAATACAAAAAAGGAAATGTACTCTTCCATTTGAGCACTCAAAGTGTAAAATATATTATTTTTTCCAGAGGGGGGAAAAAAACACACAAACACACACACACACACACACACACACACACACACCTGTTTTAAGCAAAATATGCGACAGTAGTAAAATACATAAAGCATTTTATAGAATGAAAAATGTTGAACACAGCATAAAAATCTCTCTCTTATAGTTATCACATTAGATTTATTGGCAGGCTGTGTATTTTCACGCAAGTCCCTAATAGTCATATAATAAATAATAATAAATAAAATCCCAGCTTCTAGGACAGTAGATGTTCAGCAAGTCAGTATATATAATAAAAAATGAAACTGGCCGTGCACTTTATTCCAAATGATTGGTCTACACCATTTCTCTGTGCGGTAATTTTTAGCCACAATAAACAGAAGCCTGAAGATCTGCAAGATTTTATAAACACTTGTTTTTAGTTTAAAGAGCTTTTATTTATTTATTGTTAAATAGAATCAAACAAAGGGCCTGAGCCAATGCCCAATAAAATCAATGTAAAAACTCCCATTGCCTGCAGTAGCAGCAGACTGGATTCAATAACTGAGGTGGTCCCTTCCCAGGGCCGGTGCAACCGATAGGGCGCTAGCATTTGGGGGACGGCATCTCGGGTCCTTCAGGGGCAACGGCGGTGGCCGGATCTTCGGCTGCCCCGGTCGTCATTGGCATTTAGGCGGAGGGAGCTGGGGCAGGGGGGCGCGGGGAGGGCCGCCTGCAGCAAGTAAGGGGGGGGGCACGCAGGGGAACTCCCCGCCCCAGCTCACCTCTGCTCTGCCTCCTCCCCTGAGCACGCCCACCCCGCTCTGCTTCTCTCCCTCCCAGGCTTGCGGCACCAAACAGCTGATTGGCGCCGCAAGCCTGGGAGGCGGGAGAAGTGGAGCGGCGACGGCGTGCTCGGGGAGGAGGCAGAGTAGAGGTGAGCTGGGGTGGGGAGCTGCCGCATGGCTCCCCGGGCCGGGGGGAGATGCAGCGGGAGGGGCGCCTCAGGGCGGAGGGGGGAGCTGCTGCGGGGGGGACACCTCAGGGCGGAGGGGAGCTGCCGCGGGGGGGGGAGGGGCAAGGTGGAAGTTTCACCTAGGGTGTAAAACATCCTTGCACCTGCCCTGTCCCTTCTAGTCTTCTGTTCTATAGGTACTAAGAAATTGATCCTACACTCATTGAAGTTAATGACAAGATTCCGAATGTCTTTAATTGAGCAAGATTAGGGCCTAGATTGGGCCCCAAAAGATGATATCTTAAAAGGGAGTGAGGAAAAAGTCAAGAATTGGTACAAACACATTACATAAATGTACATATTTGAATCTGCGATACACTATATATGAAACATCAACTCTTAGCATCTGGTGTCCAGCAATTAATGACAAAGAAAAGATACTAACCTGTTATGCTGAGAGATCCAAATCCTCACCGATTTGTATATCGTACAGATTGAATATATCCAACAATAAATGTGTAGCTGAATGAACATACATTTTAAAGGCCAAATCCTGCCTGTTTTATATGAGTAATCCTGTTAAATCAATGGGACTATTCATCTAATTAAGACTAGCAGGATTCAGCCTTAGGCATGCAGCCTAAAAAATAAGACCTGTTTTGAAATGAGTATGCGTGTGGAGTTTGCAGCCATGACACCATGTCAACAAAGTGCAGGGTTTAGACCAGGGGTCGGCAACCTTTCAGAAGCGGTGTGCCGAGTCTTCATTTATTCACTCGGATTTAAGGTTTGGCGTGCCAGTCATACATCTTATCGTTTTTAGAAGGTCTCTTTCTAGAAGTCTATACTATATAACTAAACTATTGTATGTAAAGTAAATAACGTTTTTTAAAATATTTAAGAAGCTTCACTGAAAATTAAATTAAAATGCAGAGCCCCCCGGACCGGTGGCCAGGACCCGGGCATTGTGAGTGCCACTGAAAATCAGCTCGTGTGCCGCCTTTGGCGCGCATGCCATAGGTTGCCTATCCCTGGTTTAGGCCAGGCTGGCGCTCAGTGACAACAGGACACTGGCAAAAAGCAAAACTGAATTTTGTACCTTGGCTTGGTAGCTACTGTCACACTGTCTGGAGTAGCTCACAACTGTGAGTGCCTACCTCAGGGCAGACCGTCAGAAAACAGGGCAGACACCCCCAAACTGATGGTGTGTTCTACAATTAGATTTCACCCAACCAGTACCAAATGTGAACTCCTGGATCATTATACCAGTCTTACCACGGAGTCACAGACAGTCCCCCTTAGATGCTCTTGCCACCCAGACAAACTGGACTTTATGATAAAAGCTCACTTAAGCCAAAAATCACATCACATCAGGGTGTTCCCAGTCCTAAGAGACCAGTCACTTACCCCGGATCAATCGGTACTCCAGATCTTATACAAAAGACAACACTGGTAGCCAATTCTATAATAAACTAACTAAAGGTTTATTAGCTAAGAAAATGAAATGAGAGTTATTGAGAAGTTAAAGCAGGTAAAATATATATACTGGTGTGTCACACTCTATAATTCCAAAGGGTAGCAGAGATGTAATAATCTGCCAGTTTCCCAAAAGTCTCTCAGGGCTACCCAGAATAATTCTGGGGATCTCCATCTTCTCGTTCAGTTATTCTGCCCTGT